TCCACTCCGCGTTTTCTGGCCTGCTTGGTGTGGAGAGATCTCGCGGTGTTTCCCGTGCTGCTCAGCTGAACATGCAGAGATCTCACGATGTTTCCCGTGTAGCTAGCACAGTGAGCGACACTGCTCTGATGACGCGGCAGACGTGCGACAGTGGTCCAGTTGGATGGAATGTGTGAAGCAGGCTGGCCAGGCTGATGGTAAACAAAGTTTCGACGGGAACTTCTGTGGATGTAATGCAGACGGCGCTGAAGTCCAAGTTCTTTGATGGCTGCGATGGCCGTTGGAATGGAACGGTTGTTGAGAGTTAGCAGCTGTGGGATCGAGTATTTGAGCTTCATGCCGGTCGCCGAAAGTGTTAGCCAAACACAGAGATGGAAGACTGTCAAGCACAGGGAGAAGATGGTCCATATCATAGCAGCGGGGAGCACAAGGCAAAACTGGACCGGGACAGCTAGATGGCTGCCCCAAGAGTAAAGTTAAAACTTTGTAGTAGCAGTGCTGGAACGACGGAGAAATCCAGGTGTTCACCACTGACAGCGGGAGGTGACCAACAATCCGCTGATGTTTTAGAAGATGTCAGTAGGTGAGTAAAGCCTTCAATTGTGTATCAATCCGTACAAAAACTCAAGAGAAATACTGTTCAAAACTCGAAGAAAAAAACCTAGAAAAATGGCGGAGAAGCGGCGAGCAACACATGCCAGCATTCTCTCCTTTCCCAATAATAGAAACAATAATAGGTTTCTATGATGCACAATGGATCAATAAATTATAGATCATACTGTACATTGTACATACACTGTATAGGCTTTTTAACTTTTTCAATTGAGAGTGCCTTGGAGTTCCCCTTTTTGATTTTTGGTATTTAGTTTACCATCCAAAGAGCACCTCTATCTTAATCAAACTTTGGAGTCCAGGAAGCGCTCCTCTACCCCTCCGGTTTTCTTTGATACATTTATTCATTTAGATGACGCTTTTATCCAAAGCGACTTACAAATTGCTACATTTCAGAGGTCGCACGCCTCTGGAGCAACTAAGGGTTAAGTGTCTTGCTAAGGGACACATTGGTGTCTCACAGTGGATTCGAACCCGGTGTCTTATCCATGATGATACTGTACATTTATTTAAGGAATGTTTAAATAAAATGGACAATCAAAAGATGAGAGGTTACTTGAGAGGTAAATGAGAAATAAATCAAACAAATATGAACATGAATATTAATGAGTACTTACTGACAGACAGGTCACTGGAGTGAAGTCTGTTGCTGGTAAAGGTATGGTAGCGCTGGTGCTGGAGCCCTGAGTTTTAAAATATAAACAAAACACCAAAGACGTTGTTATCTTGTCACATGTTAGTGTTGTGTAAAATGCCACCATGATTGGAACTAATGCTGAAACATTACACCACACAAATTAAAAAAAAAAAAACAGCCAGCTAGGTTACATGAGTATGAAAGTATACCGAGGGGTATGATGTCCCTGTGGAGGTGGAGGTGGTGGGTGTGGCTGGCCCCGGTGTGTTATTGTAGGTGGTGGGAGCCTGAAGAGACATTAGCAAAATATTAGCAACATTATATTTCATGTGTTTTTAATGTTTATATGCCCAGCAGTAAAAAAACAGGGTTGAGATTGGCAAAGGAAACAAAGAGAGATACATTTTATGCTTTTTTACAGTATGCACTCTGACTCTGGTACCTTATTCACATTAAATTAAATGTCTTTATCATTGTGACTGCCTCTGTCTTCCATCAGCATTACTCTCTCTCTAGCCAAGCAGAGAACGGTTTCATCTTGAGTAAAGGCCAGCAGGTAACCCAAGGTGAGATGTCTCACTGAGGACAGAGGCAGATTTCCATTTGACCAACAATTTACAGTGTCATTTATGGGCCTGAGGGGTGAAAAGTAGCCTCCATTAGCTGTAACGCTAAATTATATAATTTATGCTTTGCTGCTCAGAACATCTTCACATAATCTTGAATTCACATTTACTCATGAGTTCATCCCACTGCGTCACTTAACCTGTGTGAGTTTTACGGTTTATAGAAACAAACGTGCCACACATAAAGTGCATTGGTGCTAGTAGCAAATCTTTACTGGCTACCGTTAGCTAGTTTAGTTAAGTTAGCTTTGACAAGAATCCAATGCTACGTGATTTGGAAAACATACTTACCGAGGTGGCCTGTGGAGGCCCTGAGGCGGTTGCTGTCGCTGTTGAAAAATTTTGTATAGCCGCAAGGACGGCTCTGCCGATGTTCTCGGCTTACGCCGATTCGTTGGACATTTTCGCAGAGTGACCATGACCGACAGTACTGTACCTGGTCAGGGGCGGGCAGGGATAGGCTCTTGCTGGCCTTTATGCAAGCGAACATGACAGATCAATCAAAGTGAGCCCCCTCGTGGCTGGCTATTATGGCTACAGGTCAAAAGTCCCGCACCTTTCATAAAAGTGACACTAAAAACTCAAAGTAGCCTACTCTTCAAATACAGTTTCTCCAAACGTGTTTATTATTTTAGGTAGGGATTATCACAATAATCCATGTCCAAGAGTCCATTTCCCCGGATGAGACACTGACCTCCTCAAGCTTTTATTTTTGCACTTCCGGTTACCGGCATTTTGAATTTGCATTCAACATTTAGATTTAACATTTAGATTCAGATTTAATATTTACATTTAACTATTTAAAATATCTCTAAGTTGACAAATATTGTTGTAAATGTGCTAAAAAAAAAATTAAACATTGTTTGAAGCTAAATGTGTCAAAATGTTGCCGTTATTTTCAGCGTGAGCCGCTTTACAAACAGCACCTCATACATTCATACTGGAAGCCGGAGGGTGCCCTCACGCAGAAAGTCAAAATATGCCTCGCATAAGTAATGTGACATTACTTTCCAGGAAATCCCTAATATAGACAAAGGCATCCAGCTATGAGCTATCGCTGTAGCTGAATAAAAAAAGAGATAGAAACACTTTGACTTATAAATATATGAAAATGAAGACAATAAACACATGACTGTGACAATATATGTGCGGCAAGCAGGACGAGGCAGAGAGCCGTGGGAACGAGCAGTTCAGACCCGGTGGCTCTACATTTGAGCAGATATCCACAAACATGGTATTTCACAGTAAACACTGGTCTAAACATTCTAATATTCATCATGTTAGTGTAAACACTCACATTACTTTTATATCATATTGTATTTTATATTATAGAGCATAAAAACATCCTTGTATTTATTTAGCATTGAAAGTTTGCCTACCTAACTATATTTCATAAGTCAACATGTTTCCATTTATATTTACACATTTTAGTCTGGCAATAGTTTAACTAGTAAACTGTGTTCAAGTTTATTTAACAATAACACGTTATCAAATGTAAGTGAGAATAAGTTACCTCCACTGGATCAATAGCATTCTTCTTCTGAGGTAAATTCAAGGCTTATTCCTCACAGCACATCTTCTTCCAAACTTGATGAAAAGCAGAGTGTAAGTCCGTCTAATTCGATCCAATGGCGGTATCGATTAGAGGTGAAGGTCACATGCGCGTTCCGTCTCTTCCAATGGCAAAGGGATTTTTAATTAAATGCAATTCATTTTGTTTTATGTATTAACTCGTTTCATCTGACTCCATAAAATGAAAGTGTTTTTCAATGATATCTGTGCATCTTTAAATATACGTTAATGTTTGACTATTCCTTTTAACTCCAATGAAAATAAAGTCAAAGTCTGTTAGAATAATCAAATATAACAAGTCAGGTAAATGTATTATAACAATTCCATAATCAATTGAAAGATAATCAATGCAAATCATCAAATGTTTTAGGATTAGAGAAATAGATGCAAACCCAACATTTACGAACTACATGAGCTACCTCATGGGCTATCTGAAATACAGAAAAAGCCACGATCCCTTGCTGCATTCCATTAAATAGCCAGACCTCATTACATATGTAAACCTGTTTTCACAGTGGAAATTTACGGTTCACCCCCCCAGACTTACTGGGGGCAGAAGTTGATTTACATGGTACCATTTGCTAACAGTGGAAATTAGCATTGAGTTCACACCTTCTGGGAGTAGGAGACCACATTCATTTGTGTGCCGGATATCCCTAAACTCTTAAAAACCTTATTTCCTTTTGTTTTATACTTTGGGAATGAGACATTTGTACCACTCATTCTTGAGACATTTCAAATGATACCAAACATAATACTCAATGATAATCATTCACATCAAACCATAGATATTCTTATGTGAGTTTTTATGTGTCACTGCGAGAGTGGGGGATGCGGGGAAGAAGTGTGTGTGTGTGTGTGAGAGTTCAAATGTTAATTTGCCAAGGTCCTTTGTCTCATAGACCAGTGGTCTATCTCTTCACCCAGTTTCCAGTTTTCCAGTCTTACAGAGGAATGATGAAGCTAGATGCTTTGTTTATCAAAAGTGATGGGGGGCATCACGTGGCTAATGTGGACGATTACCGTATGAATAGATTGCGCCACGTGTGGGTGTGTCCACATTAAAAGATAATGAGGTCAGACAGGGAAGATTGCACCTCTTGTTGGTTTCATATTAATTACATAAACAGAGAATATTTGTTGTCTATGACTTGTTTTAAATGTAGACACTTCAAGCTTTCTAAAGACCTATCTCTCATGTCTCATAAGCAAGTGTTCGCTGAGTTTCGGTTCATTTTTGTGACGCGTTTCAGAAAGAAGTTCATAGAGACTGACAAGGCATAATGTGCATACTGTTTGTTTTCTTTATTTTACAAAAGCACAAAGTTTTGTTAATGTGAGTGTACGCAAATAAATCCTTTACAGATTCGAATGATTTATAACTCATTTCTGTATGACAAAGTTCTTTCACCGTTATCAGGAAAAAATGCAATTGATCGCTGACCCCTAAGGGTTAAAACACTTTCCACACAAAGAGCACACATAGGGTCTCACATCTGCATGGCTTTTCAGGTGTATCTTTAAGTCTGATGTCAAAATATTTTCTATGATCAAAATTAAATGATCTCCCTGCAGTGAATGTGTAGTATGAAACTGCTCTATTTTGTAAGCCTCTTGCTAAACTGAGGGACACATCAATTTCTTTCCAGAATGAGTTTGCAAATGTTGTTTTAGGTCTCTTTGATGTGTGAAAAACTTCTCACACTGAAGACATGCGAAAGGCTTCCCTCCAGTGTGAGTTTTCATGTGGACATTAAGGGTTGGTCTGTGTGTAAAACTCTTTCCACATTGAGGGCACATGTAAGGCTTTTCTCCAGTGTGAGTTCTCATGTGGCTTTTAAGGCTTCCTTTTCGATAAAAACTTTTTCCACACTCTTGACAGGTGTAGTGGCTCTCTCCAGTGTGAATTCTCATGTGGACTGTAAGGTTTCCTTTTCGGCTGAAACGTATTCCACACAGTTTGCAGGTGTAAGGCTTCTCTCCAGTGTGAGTTCTCATGTGGGCATTAAGAGTTGGCCTATGTGAAAAACTCTTTCCACATTGAGGGCAGGTGTAAGGCTTTTCTCCAGTGTGAATTCTCATGTGGCTCCTAAGACTTCCTTTTCGAATGAAACTATTTCCACACTCTTGACAGGCAAAAGGCTTCTCTCCAGTGTGAATTCTCATGTGGACTTTAAGGCTTCCTTTTTCAGTGAAACTTATTCCACACTGTTGGCAGGTGTTAGGCTTCTCTCCAGTGTGAGTTCTCATGTGAACCTCAAGATTTCCTTGTTGATCAAAACTCTTTCCATACTGAAAGCAGGTGAAATTACTTCTAATTGGCATCTTTTCTGTCTGTGAGCAACTAATAGATTTTTTTTCAGTTTTACAAGCATGATGTTCATCAAAATGATCTTTCACTTCCATCCCATTCAGTTCTTGACTCTCCTCTTTTAGCTCCATCCGGTCTAAGGTGAACAGAGACAAATACAAGTTAGCCTCAGTTTAATGTCACAAAGCAACAGACATCAAAACATTTCGGGAGTTATTTCACTGGAAAAAGTGAAAACGGAGTCCGTGTTGCTTTCACATTCACGCAAATCGCGGCACAGTTCGAGTGCAACTGAACTCAGACCACCTCCTTCAGGTAGTCTCAGGTTTGGTACCTCTGTGCGCTCCCAGGTCCACATGACAGTGTTCACATTAGTGATTTTTCAAGCGAACTGTGCCCCGTTCCGAACTAAACTGCCAGTATAGAAACGCCCTTAGACATTTAAAGCATCAAAACCAACAACATCCTATACCCTCTAGTTAAATGTGTAATGTCATACATATCATAATATGTTATAAACTCTATGTCTCTAAGTCACAACAATGTTTTCTATTCAGTAGTAGACATTTGGGGATTAATATTACTCAAAATGATTGTTTTGTTTAGGCTACTTCTGTATTATTTTTCCTAATTAAGTGTGACATGTGTTGGGGAATGTCCCCTGTCTCATGTAAAAGTCTAGGTGCTGTAATACCAGGCAGAAAACTAGGTCATAGGGTATGCAAGGATGGAAAAAAGTACCCAAAAGCTCTGTACAAAATATCTTATGGGAAGGTAGAGATTGTTGAAGGCACGAGGAGGTGCTGAAAAACATGTAATATGAGAAGTTTTCAAAAAATATATGTATAAAATATACATTCTTCACCAATAGAAAGAAGGCCTCAGGGAAAATGTTTCTAACGGTGGCGATATCTCGAGGAGGAGCAAAAAGAAAAAGATGACTGTATGGATGCTCATTGGGTACCTAGCGATAAGAAAAAGGTATAAAACCTGAAGGCTGGCCATTGTAAGTCAGATGAACAGCTGGCATCTCACTTTGTTGAACTGCTCAATAAAGTTAATTCTTCTGAGACCTGTAACTTCGACTGTGAAAGATTTCTTTGAGACCTTAACCAAAGACTCTAAATCTACCACAACACATGTTGTAATATCCTACATATCATAATATGTTATAAACTATGTCTCTAATTTAAAATGAATTGAACAGGTATCTACACTAATATTATTTAATTCCCCACCATGTCTCATCATCAGACTTTCCATGATCAATGTCTGCACCATTTCAGTCTTCCATGATGGACTTAACCAAAGAGCTACCTTATGCCGAGTTCAGACTGCACGATTTTAGCCCCGATTTTGGCTCGCCGACAGGTTTTGAGAAATCGCCGACAAATGCCCGAAATCACAGGCAAATCGGTGCTTGTTCACGCGAGTGACAATCACGCAGTGTGAATGAGCAAAGACGCGATCTGAGAGAATCGCCGACGCCCGTGAGATATTTGGCATGCTAAATATCTGGACCTGTCGGCGATTCACAATCCTGCTGTGTGAATGTGTTCTGACTGAAAACTACATCGGCGATGACCGACAGCCAATGAGAGAGCAAGATACAGGGGGGAGGAGGAGGAGGAGGAGGAGTTATAGACCAGAATATCAGTATTTTAATAGATAGGCCTATATTTACAATTATATCAAACAGAAACAAAGCACAAACATTTGCATGACCAGCAGCAACAGCAGGACATTTGCAAAATTATTTATTTACCCCCAACTCTCTTTGCAAAACACAGTCCTTGCTCCCCTCGTCTTCCCAACCATTTCCTGCATAAACTTTTTTTTTTTTTTTTTCGCTACAAATCAGTGCACAGACAATTTGTAGGCTATCATTTTTAATAACAAATTCAGTGTCGCGCGAGAACTCCGGTCTCACGCACGCGTGATCTTCCGTTATTTCCTATCACTTCTCGCGTTTGTTTGGTTGTGAAACGTAGTTTGCGGACCAGGCAGAAGTTGTCGGCGATTCTTTCTTTTGTAAAGTCATGCAGTGTGAAACCTGTCGCCGATCCATCGTGCAGTGTGAACACAGCAGCAACTGAATGTTACCCCAGATAGTCATGCAGTGTGAAAACAACAGTGACCCGATTATTTAGAAAATCGTGCAGTCTGAACTCGGCATTACGGCAGACTTCAGTTCCAACCCTGCCTGTGATTTTCAATCATCCTCAAACCTGGAATCAGGTGTGTTTAATTAGGCTTGGAGTCTATATGAGACAGGCCTTTAATTTAGTGTTGAGATGTTGTTCATTGAGATAACGATCCAAATAGCATAGGCTGATAGACGGAAAGCATGACAGTAGGTTACCACATTATAATTACGTTATATTTATAATTCGAATGTGTTTAACAAATCAGTTAATGTAAGAATTAGCCTACTATATTACCGTATGTCTAAAGGGGGTCGAACACCGGACGAGAAACGCAGCGACAGCAACGGCTCAGGACCTTGTCCAAAATCCGGACACCATTATATGAGACCTGAACTGAGCTGGATGATGACATCACTGTTTTCTCCAGAATGGCTATATAGATTAATTAACTGAATTAATAACTTTTTTACAACAGAAATGAATCAACACTGAACTTACTTAAGCTGGATTATGACACTGTTTTGTTCTAGATCTCCAGAGACAATTTTTGTTGCATTATTTTCCTATTATCCCTGTAAAGCTGCTTTGAAACAATCTGTACTGTAAAAAGTGCTATATAATTAATGTGGCTAAGTGAGAATTGTGACGAAGGCACTTGTCATTTAACAGTTGGATTGTATCACTTTGTTAGGTTACATATTCATGGTTTGTGATTTAATTTGTTGTTGGCGTTGTATTTTACAGCATTTGTTAAATTTTCTTGCATTAATTGTATTTAATACACCCATAGAAGCACATAACGATTCAGAGGGGTTCAGCGCTACCACCTTTTCTGATGGAGAATTTTGCCATTGAAAGGTAACTCTCTCGCTCTCTCAAGTTGTTCTCTGTCTATAAATTAACTTAAAAATTAATTTGTCACAGGAAACATGCTGCCGTTGATGTGCAGGTGACTCCTAAAGCACAAGAGACTGAAATCGGCGACAAGGTATGTTTTTATCGTCTCAAACAGGCACATGAAAGAGCATAATTTTACATGTATCCTGATTAAAACACAATGTATTGTTGAGGACACTTCCAATCTCCAGGGACAACAGATGGAAATGAACTAGCAGCTGAATGTGATGCAAACCATCTCTTCTCTTGTGAGAATAATTTCTTTTAAATGAATTAAATATTTCATTCCTTTTTTGTACTCTTCCCTCATGAAGGAACCACAGATAGTCAAAGACCTCAGGACCGCAGTTGGATGGCTGCAGAAAAACTGCCACTCATTCAGAGGTTTTGTGGAAGAGCCGTGGTATCTGAACCTAAAGAAGGAAGACCAGGAAAAGGCCCTTCTCAAACTTGATCAGGCGGGGGAAAAAGATGATCTGGAACTGGCCAAAGAGCCTTTCATGTTTCGGTTCCAGTTCAAAGAAGACATGGAAGTTTTTCTTTGCAAGTGTCATGATTGCCTCAGGATTAACTCCACTTGTATTGAGTTTTGATTTATTTTTCTCTTGAGAATTATTGTTAAATGTGTGCCTGCATAACTTTTATAAGATTTATTTTCTTTGGTTTGATTTTGTTTTGTCTAATTTATTTATTATTTAGTTCGATTTTGTATTTTTATTTAATTACTATTATTTATGTGTGTGATTCTTTTGAAATTTCAGAGGAAAAAACTAATTTTATTTAAATTAATCATTTTTGTTTTTTCAGTCGATCATATAATTGTTGTACGGAAGAGGATTAGGGCCAAGCAATAATAAAAAAATAAAACCATCTTGAGACTAAAGTCATTATAATGTGAAATCAAATTCGTTAAATTTCGAGAATAAAGTCGTGTTTTTTTTATCAGAATATGAGACATTTTTCTTTGAGGGGATATATAATTAAACATGACTTAATGCCAAATTATCATGCAATTTATACACTGCTTTCAATAAGTGGGGTATTGGAATCGCTTTTTACTTTCGTTTTTACTTTTTCTTTTTCGTTTTCTTTCGAATTTGCAATCACGTATATAGGGAGTGGCGGTACTGACACTACATTTTACAAAATTAGATATTTATTAATGACGCTCACGATCTGTTGCGCACCAAATCCTTCTGTCAGTCATCTCTCCTTACTCCCTTCACGTGACAAGTGAAATCTGATGTGCTGTAATAATGTAACCAGCTCCGTAGAATGCATTATTTATTTTCCACGCCTTTCCAAATTCTGTATTCGGCTTCGGGCACATCCCTATTATTTAAGCACACAGACACACATTTGTGCGACAGTAGGTGGCGCTATAATAAGGCTATATGTGTTTTGGATCATAATTTTGAAATAAATTATTTTTACCCTGAATCCTTAAAGCTACACTGTGTAACTTTTTTAGTTTATTCTTAGCTAAAAACACTTAGTTCTTTCAAAAATATATGTGCTCATTAATGTATACTTACTTCGTTCAAGTAATAAAGTATTCTCGTGAGTGTGTAATATGCCATTGAAAATACATACGGGTAAAGGGTTCTAATGTCGGTCGCCATGTTGCCCCTCCATCTTGAAAGTACATTAGCCAAAGAGGGACACACCTGTTAATTCAAGCTTCACCTTTCACGTTTTAACACTCGATGGCACCGTGTCGAATGTCGATTGTTCAAGATGGCGCCGAGTATGGCTGCTGCGTTGCGAGCTCCGTCACAACATGGTAGTTTTTTGTTTGTTCTGTTTACAGTTCTTTTGTTTTTTGTCTTGGATATTGTCTGTCTTATTCAGTACGACATACAAACACTTTTGGACATTGGTTCCGCAATCGAACACCGAAAACCGGACTTTCATTTCTTCAGTGATGCCCCGCTGTTTACAAACACGGCAGCGGAGCCCTTTGTCTGGGCAGCTCGGCCGCGGAAACGCAGCCGGAGAAGGGGAAGAAGAGCCGGCGTTCTCGTCAGAGTAAGACGGCGTGCAAATCGACCCCCGCTTCCCAGTATTCTGCTAGCAAACGTTCAGTCTCTAG